TACTGACATAAATGAACATTTGCACGATATTCTAATTTTTCGAGTTTCACCTGTACATGGATACTGCAGGGTAGCCTTTCCTAGCTTGGCATTCTCCATATGTGCTGGAATTGCTGCTCCTGGTGTTCCCAGCCAGGATGGCCCAAACATGTGGGAAGGCATCAGTTTGGAGAAGACTGTTTCAGAGTAAGCATGTTTTTAAACATTAAATTGAAAATGTCTTACTTTTATTTGAAGACATAACTTTCCATAATATTACACACTATTTCATGAAATAGTAATTTCATCTTCTTCATACATTAAACATCCAAAATATCCTTCAACCTGTAATATTAGGGAACTACCGAGCTGCTCAGCAGAGAATGTTCCTCTAGTATGTTTGACATACATCATGCTTATGGGACAAAGCAAATTAGTTATGGAACTGTACATATGAAATATTAGAACATGACGGTTGAACAGGTTTCAAAGTATTAAGTTTATGTACATAGTTTGCTGAAAGGGTTGTCATATTTTCACATTAAACTGTTAATGAAGATGTACTGATTTCCACTCTGCTCAGACAATTTATAGATATTGACAAATTAGAAAAGCAAATCTATTTCTACCTCCCTGGGTTTCTCAGGGAGACATCTGCAGGCACTACTGCATCCTCAAGGCTGAGGAGACTACAGCTCACAGAAGTGGAATCTACAAACTACTGGGGCTGTGTTTAGACTTGGTTTGTTTTTCATTACTTTCAGAACAGAAGTACAATTCTGTATTTCCTATTCTGTATTTTATTTCAGAGAAATGCACAATATTATCTATGAGAGCCAGTGTGGGGTAGTAGCTAACATGGTAGCCTAGGAGTGGAAAGACTCAGGTTTAGTCCTCAGGTACAGAAAACAGGTAGGTGACTTTGGGCCAGTCATTCTCTCTCAGCCCTAATTGCTGTCAGGCTCTGTGACAATTCAGCTGATAAAGAAAACCCCTTATTGCATCATGCATTGTTAGCTTTGCTGCAGATGAGTGCAGTGCAAAGGAAGCTGACCCTGCAACTATGCAGGACAGACACTAAGAAAAACAATAACACATCATCTATACTACAGGGAAGACTGTAACAGAATGCACTTGGATTAATATACAATTGTCCTCATTCATTTGTCCTTCCATCCTTTCTCTGTCAAGATCCTTAAATAAAATCCTTATGGAACAGTGTGAGCATAAGTAGATTGCCGATTTCTGATCCGACAAAGACATGTTTTTTAAATGTTGAACATGAGAAATGAAGAGAGAACCAGAAATACAATTTTAGTATATTGAAACTATAAAATTCCACACTAAAAAAATAGCAATTAAAAATGTATGGAGAAGATATATACCTTTATGTATACCCAAGACAAATGCAATCTTTAAAATTCATTTGCAACATTACTTGCAGAGTACAGTAAGGTTACGCCAAAGGTTTAAACTGAAAGTTTATTTAGTAGAATGAAACAATATAATAGCACTAAAAACTAATCAACAGTGGGTTAGAGAGGAGGAAAGTAAAACAAATCACAGAGCAATGAACATTCAGTCTCTGTTTGACACAATACAGTGTCAATAAAGTAATTTGTGTCTATTGCTTATTTTCATGAAGAAATGTGTATGTTTAATGGAGGAATTGAGAAAAGGTCAATACATACCACTGTTGATATCAAAGCCATGAACCTTCAAACTCTTGTGAGAGTGAAGCACCACGAAATATTCATCTTTAGAAAGCTGCACTTCTAACTTGGATTTTTCCACATAAACAGATTATTTCTGAAAATAATTTTGTAGGAAAGCCCTAGATAGCTTTTTAGGTAAACAGTTGCTCTGAAATAAGAGATTCTGAGGTAAACAAATGCATGCTTGAGATCGAGGAGTTATTTATACAGAATTATCTTTTAGTTTTTTACACATATTTTATCTCCTGCTAATTTACAACTTACAGCATTATTATGAAATCATTCATATTTAGACATCTGTTGATACAATCAATCCAGTGCCTACTTAGCTACCCTAGACATGTGTTACTGAGTAAGGGATCCTTATACAGTACTATGTATAGGACAGGGGACAGGTAATTTGAACATCTCATTGGCAGACCTTTTTTTCAAACATTACCCAATAAAATATATTTATGATAGATTGCTGCTAATCAGGGTTGACTACACTCTAATCAAGTTTTTAGCCCTTCAGCCCAGCCAAGGAAAAAATAGAAAGGAAAGTGCTTTGATTGTCCAGCTCCAAATCTAGAAATCTAGAACACAGCAAACCTGTGCGAATCCTGAAAAAAAAGGGTAGCAGTGTAACTATGCAGACTTGAACATAGGGACGTTTTTAATGAGAAATGGCCTTATGAAACCAATGAAGTCCAAACTTTAGCTATACAAAATGAATTCATTGGGAAAAAGGAAAATAAGAAAATATATTTTGGTCTTCCATGGTTTCATTTCCACCCTTCAGGGATCAGTTTACTATGCTAATATAGCAAACTGGTCTTCCTTCTAATCACAAGAGCTTGTGTGTTATACCAAACAAACATATGTATATATGTATATTTGTGGGAAATATATAGGCCTTCAATAGCTGGGCTGTAACAATCCAGACCATCACTAGGTAAAAGCAAAGACATACAGAAAAACTGTCTTTGTTGTGATTTTATGGTTGTCCTGTTTTTTTGCAGCCCAGCTATGGTAGCCCTATTTTGCTTGAAAAGTAATACCACAAGCAATAGTGTAGCACATGCAAACTCTTCTTCCCTTTTCCTCACCAAACATACAATATTCAACTCTTTAAGCTACAACTATGATCAAATCTATTGCAAAAAGCATGCCACCATTCCCTCTTTCCAGAATCACAACTAGCATAAGTTTTCTAATAGAAGGAATGGTACCTTCATAGCAGAGTGGCTGCCCCTATAACAATTGCTTTTTGTCTCCCTTGGAAATGGCCAGATAAATATACATAATCCGTACTGAAATATAAAAGGAAAGCATTTTTTTTTCATGGGTGGGAAAGGACTTGTTACTGCAGACACTGGCAGCTCAGAGGGCAGAACATTGAGCCCTATTTTTTTTAAAGCACCTTTCTTAGCCACAGGAAGAACTGGGCTCATGTGTATTCTAAGCATTTCAGGGCCAACATATCTATCTAGAAATGAAGATATGTGGAAATGGGGGGAAATTGTGCTGTATAGAATTAAACCTTAGATGGAAGATTACAGTACACTTGTGCATTTATTTTGAAGATATATTAAGATTTCTGAAATACTGCCAAAGTTGTGACAGAGTGAAGATTCCAGACTTAGTTTATATAGATTTGTTCAAACTTTGATGATCCATAAACTCAGTTCAAGAAAAGCAGTAAAGACAGCAACAGTTTATCTATCTCAGAACATTCCAATAACCACTCTGAAAAATATTAGTCATTTTTTCTATTCTGAATTTTGCATTTGAAGGTACATGATCTTCATCATCTTGGAGAGGACCGCAGCTATTTGAAACTTTAATAGATCTCTCCTGCTTTTG